ACCAAAAAAAAAAAAACCGAAAAAATACCCCACAAATGGACATGACAATCAAAAAAACATATAAAAAACAACAACAAAAAAAGGAAAAAACAACACACAACATCCTATTCAAACCACACCCACCACACACACACACCAACCTTCACAAACCTATAAAACAACCACAAAACCAAATTGTTGCATTATACTGGTTTACATGGAAAAATCCCTATTAGGTGCATTATACTGGTTTACATGTAAAAATCCCTATTAAGTTGCTTTATACTGGTTTACATGTAAAAACCCCTATTAGGTTACATTATAGTGGTTTACATGTAAAAATCCTTATTAAGTTGCATTATACTGGTTTACATGTAAAAAACCCCTATTAAGTTCCATTCAATACTGGTTTACATGTAAAAACCCCTATTAAGTTCCATTATACTGGTTTACATGTAAAAACCCTATTAAGTTGCATTATACTGGTTTACATGAAAAAAACCCTATTAAGTTGCATTATACTGGTTTACATGGAAAAATCCCTATTAAGTTGCATAATACTGGTTTACATGGAAAAATCCCCATTAAGTTGCATTATACTGGTTTACATGGAAAAATCCCTATTAAGTTGCATTATACTGGTTTACATGGAAAAAAAATCCCTATTAAGTTGCATAATACTGGTTTACATGGAAAAATCCCCATTAAGTTGCATTATACTGGTTTACATGGAAAAATCCCCATTAAGTTGCATTATACTGGTTTACATGGAAAAATCCCTATTAAGTTGCATTGTACTGGTTTACATGGAAAAAACCCTATTAAGTTGCATTATACTGGTTTACATGGAAAAAACCCTATTAAGTTGCATTATACTGGTTTACATGTAAAAACCCCTATTAAGTTGCATTATACTGGTTTACATGGAAAAATCCCCATTAAGTTGCATTATACTGGTTTACATGAAAAAAAACCCTATTAAGTTGCATTATACTGGTTTACATGAAAAAACCCTATTAAGTTGCATTATACTGGTTTACATGGAAAAATCCCTATTAAGTTGCATTATACTGGTTTACATGGAAAAATCCCTATTAGGTTGCATAAATACACTGAAGTCCTTGAAACTGCTGAAGTCCTTGAAAACTGCTGAAGTCCTTGAAACTGCTGAAGTCCTTGAAACTGTTGAAGTCCTTGAAACTCTTGAAATCTTGAAACTGCTGAAATCCTTGAAACTGTTGAATCCTTGAAACTGTTGAATCATTGAAACTGTAGAAATGTCTGAAAGAGCTGAAGTCCTATTAAAATGCATGGGCCTATTAAAATGCATTGCAGAATTCTCAATGCAGATTTTTGTCCGATTGCGGAAAAACCGGAAATCGCTGAAGTCCCAAAAGTAATAGCAATAATCTCCCAAACATGTGGAACGTTTTGATGTATAACTTGTGGAAATTGTTGAAAATGTGAAAGCTGTGAAACGTGTCAAAAAAAATGACGGAATAAAGAAATACAAAACCAATGGTTGACTGCGGAAGGTTCCGCAGTCAATCAATTATATCCTGTACACTGCACAGGATGTTTTGACTCCAATGCAGACAAGATTTACATGGGTTTCAATGGGAACGGAGTTGTCCCATCTCTGTTCATAAGTACAAACTGTAATGCGCTGCAGAACGTGTGTCTATACTTTATGTCAAATGTAAACGGCCCTGTGTCACTGACTTACCCCTGTGTTTTCATCACGGCACATGTGAGTCCAACAACCAATGAATAGCACTAGCATACAGCGCCGCACCGCAAGTACACTGAGTCGGGGTGCGTTCACAGACGGTGGAAACCGTAGGAATTTTTAGTTTTCGGCGGAAACAGTGCGGAGAATACAGGAGGGAGGAACTTTCTCTCGTTGCGTTTCAAAAGAGAAAACAGATTTCACTCAGTTTTAAATGGAAAACAAATTGTCTGCCGTTCATGACGCATAATATGAACTAATTCACGTTCAAGTTCTTTATTAAAAAATGTGTTGCGTTCAGTTCAACGTTCACGAAAAAATGAGCCTGTTCAATGAACGCGTTCTTTTGAACTCGTTCACGCACAACACTGGCTTTGGCCTGGGCCTTGCTCATTGGACCAGGCCACCAGGCAGGGTAGGAGTTTGCAAAGACCGTGAGGATGAAATTAAATTTTAAAAAAAGACCGTGATGATAGGGCAGGCCCAGGCCACTTTGACACGCAGGCCACCGGGAGATCTCCCGATGCTCCCGATGGCCAGTCCGGGCCAGTAGTGAAACCAAGATGGAATGAAGGATCGGTTCTTTTAGGGAGAAAACAAACCCATGGATTCAATATTAATGCTACAGAGAGGAATCAGACTGATAGATATGGTTTTAATTGAGTATATTTGTAAATCCCACTCTACCAGCCTCCTGTTAAAGACTGGCAATGCATTTACATTTACTGTTGATATGACATGTTAAGTTCATGTGTGTGTTTGTAAAGGCATCGTACTTCTGCTCCTCCTCAGAGCGTCTGTTTCTACTCTACTACTGTGTATTTATATTAATTTGACTGGGACAGTACATGTATATGAACATATATGACACATTTTAATCCCAGAAGAACCGGGTCTGTTTAAATTAATGATTTTTTTGTGTGAATTTCTTTTCCAGAGGCAGCTGTCTTCCAGAGGCCATCATTTTTTTCTTCATCCATTTCCATCACCTCCAGCTCCTGTGGATTACGATATAAACTACAACGACCAATATGTTCATTTGTTTTATTAATTGCAAGTCATGGATAGTTAGAACACATTTTCTGAAGACATATGCAGCAGCAGCAGTAACAACAGCATTTGCCTGGACGTCTGCCTCTGACTGTCTTTTCTACGATGGACTCATCACAACCTGGAATAAAATAAAATAATTATGATTTAGTTCTTTGTGTGCAATGAAAAGTGATGTATGCGTTTGTTTTATCCAATCACACAATCCGTGAGAAACATGTTTCATAGCTTGTATTTAAGTACTACTTCTAATTAGTGCTGTCCAACGATTAAAATATTTAATCGCGATTAATCGCATGAATTTCATAGTTAACTCGCGATTAATCGCAAATTAGTCACACATTTGCGTGCTGTGTGCAATTGCTTTTTTTATTGAAAACAATGTGTAGTGTTATATTACACACTAACATTTGATGCAAAATCATCAATAAATGGATGACAAAATAAATAATTGGTAACAAAAAGCCCCTTCAATGTGTGTGTGTGGGTGTGTGTGTGTGTATGTGTGGGTATAGACCATAGACTGTATAGAAACATCATGGTGTCATTATGATGATGATAAACAATCTGTAAATATTTTGTAAATTTGTTCATGTAAATACTCTATGCTGTTTCTCTGTTTACCTTCGGTATATCTATGACTGTATACTGTTTGCTTGTATTGCCTTTTTTATTACCCCCTCCCCCCATCTCCCACTTCATGTCCCCCCCCCCCCCCCCCCCCCCCTATGTGCCCTTCTGGGTTTCTTCTTTGGCCCCCTATATCTCCAACTACATATTGTTTGTAATCTCTGTCTACAATGTATCTGAACTAGTCCTTTTCTTTGTTTCTATTTTTTTTTTCTGTATATGTGTTTGTCTGCAATAAAAAGTAAAAAAAAATATATATATATATAATTTTTTTTTTATCGCGCGATAAAAAAAATGACGGCGTTAATATTGATTTGCGTTAACGCGTTAATAACGCGCTATTTTGGACAGCCCTACTTCTAATCTTAAATACATTTAAGCCATTAACTCTGACATGATCAGGTCTGTTGGATTTCAAGAGGCAAGGAGCTTGTGCTCAAAAAGTAAGTACTCATGACCTTAAATCTGGTCTGTAAGTTCAAGTCCACGCGTCTTCTGTGTCCAGCTTCATGTTCACAGATGTCCCCCTGCACATAATCACGTTTGTACTTAATACAAATTACTTTACAACAAAGTGATGCACAAACGAGGGCCATAGCAAATCCATCAATCGCACTAAACACATGCATTATTTACATGAAATATCACATTTTTAAGACTAATGATTACTCTTAAAACAATTGTTATAACAGAGAAAGTATGATACAAAAGCCGCCTTTTTGGGTTTTCATAATTACTTCCACAGTTAAGACTGTTAGCATAAGGGAGCTCTCAAAATGACTCCCAGCGCATGACGCTCCATTCTGGGCATCAGCGCAGCTCTACACCCGTGGTTAGCGTGTTAGCATCGGAGCTCAAGGCTGGAGAAAAAGTCCAAAGAAAATCTGTTTAATCACCAAACAGACCTCTGATATAACAATAGAAGGGCTATTTCCCACCTCCAATGTTAATACAATTAAATGTTATGTCCTAATTAAAACGTAAATTCAACTTTTACCTTTACCTTGTCATGGCCGCTCCTCTCTCCGCTCCGTGATCCATGCTAATGCGGGACGCTCATGTACAACAGCACGGCCTGATAATAGTGCAGCGTCCGAATCGGCATCAGAATGAGTCCACTCACTCACTCACTATATAGTCCCGCACTATGTAGTGAGTGAGTGAATAGGGTATAGTGCGGACATTCCGATAAAGCCAAAGTCGTGTTCTGGCCCTGGCTACATCTATGGAGGATTGGCTGATCGATTGCTTCTGTCTTGATTTACCCGAAAATAAAGCATGACATTTCAAGCAGCGAAAAAAAATGCAACGAATTTTTGGACACTGAATTTTAAAACATTGAATATTTTGACACTGAATTTTAAAACCATTGAATTTTTGGACACTGAATTTTAAAACATTGAATTTATTTACACTGAATACTTTTTTGTTACATTTTTATAGAATTCAAAAGCAAAAAAAAGTGTTGATAATAAAAACACAAAATAACCTTCATAATAATTAGCAATTGATTGTTAGATTCAAAATACATTTTACTAGTTTATATTTCCGTCTGCAGTAATTACAGCTTTCTATCTGTATAGGTTATTGTTAGCTTAAGACGGTCTTCAGCATGGTGGTGGACATGGTGGTGGACATGGTGGTGGACATGGTGGTGGACATGGTGGTGGACATGGTGGTGGACATGGTGGTGGACATGGTGGTGGACATGGTGGTGGACATGGTGGTGGACATGGTGGTGGACATGGTGGTAGACATGGTGGTAGACATGGTGGTAGACATGGTGGTAGACATGGTGGTAGACATGGTGGTAGACATGGTGGTAGACATGGTGGTAGACATGGTGGTAGACATGGTGGTAGACATGGTGGTAGACATGGTGGTAGACATGGTGGTAGACATGGTGGTAGACATGGTGGTAGACATGGTGGTAGACATGGTGGTAGACATGGTGGTAGACATGGTGGTAGACATGGTGGTAGACATCGGGGTGGACATGCTGGTGGACATGCTGGTGGACATGGTGGTGGACATGGTGGTGGACATGGTGGTGGACATGACGGTGGACATGACGGTGGACATTACGGTAGACATTACGGTAGACGTGGTGGACATTACGGTAGACATGGTGGTGGACATGGTGGTAGACATTACGGTAGATATTACGGTGGACATGGTGGTAGACATTACGGTAGACGTGGTGGACATTACGGTAGACATGGTGGTGGACATGGTGGTAGACATGACGGTAGATGTGGTGGTCATGATGGTAGACATTACGGTAGACATTACGGTGGACATGGTGGTAGACATTAAGGTAGACATTACGGTAGACGTGGTGGACATTACGGTAGACGTGGTGGACATTACGGTAGACATGGTGGTGGACATGGTGGTGGACATGGTGGTGGACATGCTGGTGGACATGCTGGTGGACATGGTGGTGGACATGGTGGTGGACATGGTGGTGGACATGGTGGTGGACATGGTGGTGGACATGACGGTGGACATTAGGGTAGACATTACGGTAGACATTACGGTAGACGTGGTGGACATTACGGTAGACATGGTGGTGGACATGGTGGTAGACATTACGGTAGATATTATGGTGGACATGGTGGTAGACATTACGGTAGACATTACGGTAGACGTGGTGGACATTACGGTAGACATGGTGGTGGACATGGTGGTAGACATGACGGTAGATGTGGTGGTCATGATGGTAGACATTACGGTAGACATTACGGTGGACATGGTGGTAGACATTAAGGTAGACATTACGGTAGACGTGGTGGACATTACGGTAGACGTGGTGGACATTACGGTAGACATGGTGGTGGACATGGTGGTGGACATGGTGGTGGACATGCTGGTGGACATGGTGGTGGACATGGTGGTGGACATGGTGGTGGACATGACGGTGGACATTAGGGTAGACATTACGGTAGACATTACGGTAGACATTACGGTAGACGTGGTGGACATTACGGTAGACATGGTGGTGGACATGGTGGTAGACATGACGGTAGACATTACGGTAGACATTACGGTAGACATTACGGTAGACATTACGGTAGACATTAAGGTAGACATTAAGGTAGACATTACGGTAGACATTACGGTAGACATTACGGTAGACATTACGGTAGACATTACGGTAGACATTACGGTAGACATTTCGGTAGACATTTCGGTAGACATTACGGTAGACATTACGGTAGACGTGGTGGACATTACGGTAGACATGGTGGTAGACATGGTGGTGGACATGGTGGTGGACTGGTGGACATGGTGGTGGACATGGTGGTGGACATGGTGGTGGACATGGTGGTGGACATGACGGTGGACATGGTGGTAGACATGACGGTAGATATTGTGGTAGACATTACGGTAGACATGGTGGAAGACATTACGGTGGTAGTCATTACGGTGGACATGACGGTGGACATGGTGGTGGACAGGACGGTAGATGTGGTGGTCATGATGGTAGACATTAAGGTAGACATTAAGGTAGACATTAAGGTAGACATTACGGTAGACATGGTGGTGGACATGGTGGTGGACATGGTGGTGGACATGGTGGTGGACATGGTGGTAGACATTACGGTAGACATTACGGTAGACATTACGGTAGACATTACGGTGGACATGGTGGTAGACATGGTGGTAGAAATGACGGTAGACATGACGGTAGACATGGTGGTGGACATGGTGGTAGACATTACGGTAGACATTACGGTAGACATTACGGTAGACATTACGGTAGACATTACGGTAGACATTACGGTAGACATGGTGGTGGACATGGTGGTAGACATGGTGGTGGACATGGTGGTAGACATGGTGGTGGACATGGTGGTGGACATGGTGGTAGACATTACGGTAGACATTACGGTAGACATGGTGGTGGACATGGTGGTGGACATGGTGGTAGACACGACGGTAGACATTACCGTAGACATTACGGTAGACATTACGGTAGACATGATGGTGGACATGGTGGTAGACATGACGGTAGACATGACGGTAGACATTACGGTAGACATGGTGGTAGACATTGTGGTAGACATGGTGGTGGATATGGTGGTAGACATTACGGTAGACATGGTGGTAGACATGGTGGTGGACATGGTGGTAGACATGACGGTAGACATTACGGTAGACATGGTGGTGGACATGGTGGTAGACATTACGGTAGACATGATGGTAGACATGGTGGTGGACATTGTGGTGGACATGGTGGTGGACATTTCGGTAGACATTACGGTAGACATGATAGTGGACATGGTGGTGGACATGGTGGTAGACATTACGGTAGACATGATAGTGGACATGGTGGTGGACATGGTGGTAGACATTACGGTAGACATTACGGTAGACATTACGGTAGACCTGATGGTAGATATTGTGGTGGACATGGTGGTGGACATGACGGTAGACATGGTGGTAGACATTGTGGTAGACATGGTGGTGGACATGGTGGTGGACATGGTGGTAGACATTACGGTAGACATTACGGTAGACATGGTGGTAGACATGGACATGGTGGTAGACATGACGGTAGACATGACGGTAGACATTACGGTAGACATTACGGTAGACATGGTGGTGGACATGGTGGTAGACATAATGGTAGACATAACGGTAGACATTGCGGTAGACATTACGGTAGACATGGTGGTGGACATTACGGTAGACATTACGGTAGACATTACGGTAGACATGATGGTAGACATGGTGGTGGACATGGTGGTGGACATTGCGGTGGACATGGTGGTGGACATTATAGTAGACATTACGGTAGACATGATAGTGGACATGGTGGTAGACATTACGGTAGACATTACGGTAGACATGGTAGACATGGTGGTGGACATGGTGGTGGACATTGTGGTGGACATGGTGGTGGACATTACGGTAGACATTACGGTAGACATGATAGTGGACATGGTGGTGGACATGGTGGTGGACATGGTGGTGGACATGGTGGTAGACATTACGGTAGACATGATAGTGGACATGGTGGTGGACATGGTGGTAGACATTACGGTAGACATGATGGTAGACATTGTGGTGGACATGGTGGTGGACATGGTGGTGGACATTACGGTAGACATTACGGTAGACATGGTGTTGGACGTGGTGGAGGACGTGGTGGTGGACATGGTGGAGATTTCCCCATAGACTTCATCTTAAATAAAATGGCTCATTCCCAGCTGACGGGTTCCTCTCAGCTTCCTCAAAGGTCATTTTTTGTGGGGGTTTTAGTCTTCTTTCTCATTATGTAAGAATTTTAAATCCATTGAGGCAGAAAATGCCAGAGCTTGCTTTCCATCCATCAATCTTCTTCCGCTTTTCCCGTTTCCAGGTCGCAGCGGCAGCAGTCTAAGCAGCGATGCCCAGACTTCCATATCCACACACTTTCAACAAAAATATGAAAAATAAATTTTGAAATGGCAGTAGTACTAAACAACAGCATGTTTTAACCTGTATAAGGTTCAAATATGGATTAATTGATTACTTAATTAGTCGTTAACTATTGCATATAATAGATATTCGACTTGCAATACAGTAAATGGTCCATAGTTATAGCCCTTTAGTGATCTATCTGCTTGTCTTAATAAATTCTCACTATTTGAATCTCCTGGTCTGGTGTGTGCCCTGATGTGACCTTTTAAACCGCAGATGTGCTGTGTTTTTCTTCAGAGCCTTTCACTTTTATAGCCGCTTCTGATATAGTTGTGTGTTGGCCGAGCTAATCCTGCCATTGATCAATATCCTTCTCTGGTCCAAGGGCTGCTGATGTCTGGATATACCTTCTTTACATTCAGTGAGTCAGTCTCTGCAATATTTGAGTTGGCCCATAAAATACAAAACATTTATCTGTAAAATAGTGTGTTAATCGCAGAAGTGATGTTGTTCTTCTGAGAAGAATCAATATTCATGCACATGGTTTCCTTAAACACAATACTTTAGGGAAAATACCTATTGGGTAGTTAATTAATGAATCTAAGTCCACATTTAGGCACTCAATATAAATATGAATTCTTTATTAATGTTGACAATTGGATAACACTACATTTAGATGGGGTACCAGGTGAGTGATTATATGTAAAATAAAATAAAACGAGTTCAGTTTTTCAGTAAAATAAAAATGTAACTCAAAAGAGTGAACAAGAAACCAATTTTGAAGGTACCGTATATAACGCTTTTTGACTTTTCTCTGCTTTAAGTATCATTAAAGTGCTATTTGATCTTGAGAATTCCAATAGACATGCCCACAAACGTCCATGAATCAGCGTGCACAGCCAGAGTCCCGCCAGTACCACAGTTGATTCACGAAGTTCACATTGAGCTCTGTTGTTTTTACTGCTCCCATTCGCAAAACTTCTTACACGAGCACTTCCCTATTTGGCTTCATTGAACCTGGGGGTTATTATTGTCCATCTACTGTATACAATCTTTTATTTTAATGTCGCTGGTTTAGTTTTATAGGACGCATGCATGATAATTGAGCTAGCATCATTTTTGATATACATGGAAACATGTTGAATAAAATTCACTGTCCCATTTAATAAACAAATGCAATGTATACAAAGATCCAATCATTTCATAGGTCAATAAGAAGCTTGGGTTTAACGAGCCATGGAATCTCAGCCTCATTTCCCCTGTGCTTCATCTCTGTTTTGTTGCCATGTCATTGCAGTTTTCCAGTCGGTTGACGGCTCACAGATTTGTAGCGTGGGCTTTACCTGCTGTCCCTCCGTCTGACTGTCCATGTCTCTCCATTATATGCTCCAGTGCTGATGGTGTTTGTCAGGATGCACTGCACGCCCCAAGACAATTCAGCTCCTACACCAGCACAGCCTAATGAAGCTCGCCACAAAACACATCCTTGTACACGCTGAAATACTGCACTCAATGCATCACATTTGTCTCACATGTTTAGCCTAAACATTGAAGCAACGTGATATATGGTGCACCATGTAGATAGAATTAAATCACTACAATAGCACACCATTTTATTTCGCACACACAATTCATCACCTGGATGGATTTGCCCTTATAGTACAGAAACATTTACCACAGTTAAAAGACGAGCTAAAAACACATATATAAAAGCTGTATAAATAAATTTTACTTTCTTTCTTAACTTGAAACAAAAATATGAAAAAGAAATGTTGACATGGCAGTAGGACTAAACAACAGTGAAATATGTCAGTTCAACTCTGCAGGAAAAGTGATTTTAAGAATTTTAGTGACACAAAGTTGATATAATTGCATGTTTACCCCCAATGCCACTGAGCTTACCCTTTTCAGCTTTTCAAAGTAATGGTGGGAAGTATTTTTCTTTTAGCTTGATGTTTTGTCATGGAGGTTCCTACATTTTTTTGTTCTCACAAAAATTAGATTTGGATGGCCTTATAACATGGATAGGATGACTCCCATATGAATGAAAAAAATTAAAAAAGGCTTTTAGTTGTAACTTATGTTAGCACACTATATTGCTCTTCTGTTGGTCTTCTACTGCAGTGTGGATAAATATACCCTGCCACCGCTCTGTGAGTGCATTTCATCACAATGCACAGCCTAACCTCGCTTTGGTACGAAGTGACATTACATAACTTTAACCTTCAAATATGTAGCCTCTAAGCTGTTTGAGTACCAGGCAGCTGAAGTTGGACGCTGACTGGTAAACAGTATCAGCTTAGGAGAAACATACTACATGCGATTCATTTAACTCACACTTCATTATTCTTCTTTCATTGAGTAGAATTGTGATGAACTACTGTGGTTGAAGAAATAATGATTATAAAGTTGTAAGTTTATAATCATCATAAGTTGTAGGGCGACAGTAGCTCAGTTGGTAGAGCATTGGCCTTAAGGCCAGAAGGTCATGGGTTCAATGACCACCTCTGCACCTTCTCCACCGACTCCCACTGATGACTGCTGTCGTTGTGTCCTTGGGTAAGACACTTAACCCCACTTTGCCCAAAAGCCCCCACTGAAAGATCAAGGCTATGCTCACACTCAGAGAGCAGCCGTCCTCCTGTGGACTCACCACCTGCAGAGGGTCAGTGAGGGGCTGGTGCTATGAGACTTGGGTGGCATCTCTGACTGCCACCCCCCTGACCCAGAAATGGATGAAAGGGTAGAAAATGGATGGATGGATGGAAGTTGTAAGTTGTTAGATGTGTTATACAAAAATCTGCAGACATACTCTCCAGACTATCATCCCCTTTTATAATCAATTTCCGGGTCTGGGGGGTTGAAAATCAGTGCTGCCACCCAATGCTCTACCAACTGAGCTACTGTCGAGTTAAAAGACCTTGAAAAAAGTAGTGACTTTAGAGTCCAGTAAGATTGACATTTCTGACAAGAATGATTTTGGCTTCTGCTGAAACTCTGTTATGGATATTTTGAGTTTGAGTCACGGCATTGACCAACAAAACACGAGCGCTGTCTTATTTACAGGAGCTGAAGTTTTTTTTCTCATGAGTTTTAAATAGTAAGATAGCAATTGGTTTAAAAACTGATTGGTCAGGATGAGATAGTGGCAACTTTACTGCCCTTCTGCTTTAATTGGTATTAGCTTTATTTTCATTTCCTAAACACAACAAACCAATATTATGGGAATCACGTTTTAGCAACTGGAATAAAGAAGTAAAATCAGACAATGTCAATATTTGGAGATAGACCTCTTCCATTACTCACTGTAAGTGCCACAGTTGATTGATGCATCAGCGCAGACATGTAGCTTTCGGAAATACTTACTGTATATGTTAGTTTTGTTTTAGTAGTGGATTAGATAGAAACTGTTTGTCACTGTACAGTGGAAGTGTTTCTGTTTTTGTAGTTGGTAAATTATTGTCCTTGGTGCTTAATGACAGACAAAAATATTAAACCTTTTGACAACATTTACATTTTGTGGGTATGTGTTTATTCTATAGCTCTTGAAAGCCTGTCTATGTTGTGTCTGCTCTGCTTGTTTACCTGTTGGCTCCTTCTGCACCCGGCTCCATTACGGAAGTGACCAACGTCCCACTTTGGTGTCACCCAATGATTTATCACATGTTTCCGCTGTCACAGGCTTTTGTTCTCTTTTTTACACTTGTACTTCCTCTTCTCACACATTTGAACAGTTTTGGTGTCTATGAAGACAGCCTCTGTAGAATTAGGAGTATTGTTTTGTTCTGAAATGCTAATTTTCCTGTCACTTTTTTAATGTCTTTTTATTACCGCTAGTAAGTTGTAAAGAATAGACAGACTCTTAGCATAAATTATTAAAGCCTATCTTCTTTTACCCATGGTCTCTGATGACCTTCGCATAAGCAAGCAAAGACTAACTTGTCCGTATTAGATAACGCTGTAAAACAGGTTAACTCATTGACTGCCATTGACAAATTTCTCTTAGACCCTATATTCGACTGGGGATTACAGGACAATAAAAATAGCTAAAAAAAAAACGTATGTTTGCTGATCAAAGTAGACAATCCAGTCTTTCAGAATCTGGTTTCACATTTCACATAGTCTTAGGAAATAATAATCTATGGGTCTTTAGAATCAGTGAAATCATCAAAAATGGCTGGCAGTCAATGAGTTAAGGGTTAGATTCTCATTTAGTTGAGTAATAACATCCACCTGCCTCGTTTAGCTACGTAAGCAAATTGAAGGTGTATTTTTAATTTAATTGTGTATTCTGTCCCATGCATGTCAGCACTAATTAAGGTCACTATAGATTAATGCTGTTGGAAGGACATATTTATTTAGCACATGACATACATTGACGTGCATATCTGTGAGCTTAACAAAGACAAGACAACAAAACACTTTCTAATGTATTCTGACGTTAGAAAGTGTTTTAATTTTTTTGAGAGTCTATAGAAAAGAGAACAAATAGACAAGCATGCAGGCCTGCAGTTCACTCTTAAATGAGCTCAGTGTCAAAGCAGATTTGTTAAGATAAGATCAGGGATCCTTTATTCATGGGCAACGTCATGGTGAAAGTGGCTCGGTTGGTAGAGCATTGGCCTTTAGGCCGGAAGGTTGGGGGTTCGAGCCCACCCTAAGACCTACTTCACGTCTCCCACTGTCGTTGTGTCCTTGGTGGTCAGAGGGGCAGATGTCACATACCAGTTGCCCTGGCTTTTGGTAATGTACCCTAGGGCAGCTGTGGCTACAAT